CCCTCCTCTTCCTGCTTGCAAGCTATTCTACTGTTTTTCCAATATGTGGGTCTCCATCTCATCCTGTCTTCTCATGGATGCCATGCTCTCTGGTCAGAAAACTGCTTCCTGTGCATTCTCTGGGCCTCGGTCAATGCCTGCCCCAGTGTAGCCGCCTCTGGCCCTGCTCAATTCTCCTTATTCTACACTCTTTGCCATGTAGCACTTACCACACTGAAAATTCAGTAATTGTTTGGGTAATTACTTTTTAATGCCCAGACTCCCAATAGGCTCTGAAGTCTATGAGGGCAGGAACCTAGCTGGCTGCTATATCCCTAGGCTCAGCCGGGTTCCTGACTCATGGTGGTGGTCTTTGGGCACTGACTGAGTGCAAGGGAATCAAAGGTCACAGCAGCTCAATGAGTGACAAGCATGGTTTGGCTCACAGAGGGTATTTCTAATAAAAAGTCTCTGGTTGTACTCAAAATTGACTAATGAATGAGGAGCGATCATGTGACAAGATAAGGCATGTAAATGTAGAGTCTTAATTATTTTTAACTGTTCAGAGGACTTATAAGGACAACGATGGTTCAATGTTATGCATTTAAATGTTTATTCAGTATCTTTAATGTGAAGGGGATTTTGGAAGGAGAAATAACATTACCTGGGATTTGGGATGTGGAAGATGAAGAGGAGGGAGGAGCCAGGAATGACTTAACTTTCTTTTCTTTGAGCAGCTGAGTCAGACCGCTAATGCAAAGTGGGCGGAAGGGGGAATGAGATGGGGTGGAGGGAGAGCTCATGCCCAGCACTGGGTGTATGAAGCTCGGACACCAGCAGGACGGCTGTTAAACCAAACACAGATTCCAGACTCCAAACTGAAGGCCTCAGAGCGCAGGTAACTGGTTTAATGAACCCCGAATGCTCAGTGCCACAAACATGTCTATGCAGGCATGTAGGTCTTTATAGAGTGACAATAAAGCAAAATGAGGATTCAGAGAGCTATACAACTCCATGTAATACACATCCTGTTCTCTTGCAACTGGCCTTGTCTAAAGCTCTGGAGTGCTCACCCTCAGTGGAAAGTGTCAATCTCAAGAGTCCTATGCAATGTGAGCATTTAAAGCCTGAGACCGAAGAAACTCAGAGCATTCTGAAGAAATTGTTGGATCCATTAATTTATTCATTTATTTGACAAATATTTATGGGGTTTATTCCATGTGGCAGACACTGAGATAGACACTAGGGGACAATTTGGGACAAGACTGTGTCTAGTCTCTCTCCAGGGAGGGGACAGGGTAAGCAAGTAGTTATGACAAAAGTTAACACAGGTCCTGAACCGAGGTGGTCAGGGAAGGCTGGGTCAAGAAGCTTGTCTCAACAAGCTCACCAGAAGGGCTGAGTAGAGGTCAGTGGAGATGGGCTCTGGCCTAGACAGAGAACAGGGAGACGACAGCCAACATGCAGAAAAAAAGAGTCCTGCATTGGCCTGAGCGGCAGAGTGAAGGGCAGAATTTGGGATGAAATTAAGACATGTTCTGGAGGTGGGACAGCCAAGACTCGGTGACCAAGTGCTCTGGCATGAGCAGCTGGGTCGAAGGAGGTGCTGTTTGCTAAGAGCAGAAATGCAAGAAGAAACAGCTTCTCTTAGACACACTGGCCATCCCAGCAGGAAAGTCCAGGGGGCAACTGATAAACAGGCTGACACTAGAAGTGAGAACAGAGGACCAGTCTGAGCTGTGGTGAACTCTGCTGCTGAGGATGTGGTGGTGATGGTGGTGGCAATGTGTCAGATCATCTGACTCATTCAGTCCCTCTCCATGTCACATACCAGGTTCTAGGTACAGAGCAAGGGAGCATAGCCCTGTCCTCAAGGAGTTTTCATTCTAATGGGACTGATGGATAAAAAACATGGTGATGTGGTGTTGCAATGGTAATGCAACTAGACCCACATGGGAAAGATCCTTGGTTTGAATCCCAGGAACTCTGAGCACACTGAGCACACTGGATACATGATGTGGGCTGACTGAGGGTGGACTGGAGTGAAGAATCCTGTTGTGGGTGCCCGTCTGTCTCTGTCTATCCCTCTCATGGAAGAAATAAATTAACTTTAAGCACTTTAAAAAGAAGAAAAAACAGGAAAATGCACAAATAAATAAAATGTCAGGGAGGAGTGGCAGGACAGTGGGTTGGGGCTGGTTGGGACTCTGGCTCCAATGCTTCCTGGGACTGCCAGCTGGTCAGCTCTTCTTGGAATCCTGGAGCTAGGCCACATGGCTCATAACTGAAACACCTGTCTCATGATTCCCAAAAGCTTCTACCATCTCCCTGAGGTGACATGTTGTTCTCTCTTACAACTAAGAGAATTTAGCATATCCCACAAATGTTTCTGGAATCTAGGCTGAAGCAAACTGACAGTTAAGGTACCCTGACTCCCCTGTACGACTATCAGTAAATGCAATGCTATTGACCAGGCCCTTCCTGTAAGCCTCAGCCACAGGATTACTTCATCTGAGTAATAATTTCACAACACACGTAGCATGCTCCGAGCCCCATCTCTGTATTTCAAGTGACTTGCAAGATGTGTCAGGGCAGAGCATGGTAAGAAATCCCTGGGAATGTGAGTGACACGAAACATACATATACTATGATTGACTTTTACTATCACATAAAACAGTCAACATTACTTGCTCTCATCATCTTAAATTTAAACTGTAAACTTTAATTCTTTAGCCAAAAACAACCATTATGAAGAACATTGCAATACAGAAAAAGGCTTATGGTATAACATTAAGTGAAAACAGCAAAATATAAATATATACCCATGTTACGATGAAAACAAAAATTCTATAAAAATCATATAAGTACATGCACAAGGGTTGCTCAGGCAAAGAGGAATGCTGATTTAAAAAAAAAGTTTCTTCTATTTCTATAGGAAGCTAAGATAGAAAATAACTATGGAAAAAGAAATCTGCCTTGTTAAAAGTCACTGCCGAGATGACAAACTCCATTCCCTAAAAGCCTGATACAAATTTGACTTTTTTTTCCCTTGGAGAGATTTTTGCTGTAAGGCACGTGCACTTGCCAGAAAGAGAGAGAAAGAAAGAGAGAAATCACCCCCAGAGGGGATGGCCATGCCGCAATCCCTTCTTCATTCTCTTCTCAGGATCTTGGGGGCACGCATGCACACGCACCCGGCGTGAGTTTAAGCCACCAGGTCCGGGACTTGAACTGCAGTCGACTACATGGGAGTCCAACGACAGCCATTACGCCAATTGCTGGCCCCGAATTTGACTTTCTTAGGTACAACTTAGTGTAGATTGTTTACAAAACAACAGTAAAAGGCTCTCTGTATCTTTGGCAAAGACAAAATAAGCCAGCCCCCTTTCACCTAAAGCACCAAGGGACACAACAGACAGATTTCTCAGCAGCAGGAACACACTTCTAGAATACTGCTCCATGGTGATATGGAAATATACAATAGAACTTTCCTGACCAGGAGGAACCAACAGAAACCTTAAAGAATGAACTATTCAGATACAGAAAGTTATATTTATAAAAGCCCAGTTGTACGTTTTTTCTGTAAATTCTTCTTCCTTGAGTAAGTATGGCTATGACATAGTTCAGAAGAGAAAATTCTCAAACAGCACTTTACACATAAGAAAATATAAGCGGTGCTACCAAGCTGCTGATGTTGAAGGAACAGTGTACATTGGGCATCAAGTGATCCACTTACAATGAATGAGCCTTTTTGTGAACCTGAGTCAGTCTTCAGGGAACCCCTAGTTGGATACAAAGTTTTGTAGAAAATCATAAGGCTAGAATCTGGACTTAAGAGCTGGGTAAGCTCCAAAGACGGCAAAAGGTTAGAACAAAGCAAACCATTCTCTACCAGGAGGCTGTTCCTCCACCTTGTCCCATTTTATAAACGAGAAAAGTGAGGCCCAGAGAGGAAAAGGAATGTGATAGGAATGTGATCAAGACCTCATAACAAGCCAGTAGCAGGAGAATATAGATCTCTTTACTCCCTGTCCAAATGCGTTCTACTGCCCCTTTTTTGGTGTGGCCTCTATTTACCTCAGAGCTCCTAGAGAGAACAGCAAATCCTGTGGCAGGTAAGTACAGGTACAAAGGAGACCTGTTTCTGCTTTGCTTTGTTAAAGGAGCTCTAGCAACATCAATGATGTTCAGAGAATTACTAATAAGGGCAAGTACAATAATTCCAGCAGGGAGGGATGGGGGAGGGGTATTAAGTTGGTTTCCTAAGTCATAAGAGGAAGTGACTTTCCTATTTTTCTGATTACAAGCTTTCTAGGACTGAGCTGGGACCCGTGTCATCATGTCCATCATTTCCCTAAAGGTTCTAAGTCACCTAGAGCAGAGAACCAACAAACAGTAGCAATAGGCTCAAAGCACTGTAAATTCCCCCTCACTTTTCTAAAATAAGGAATCAAAAGCCATCCTCTCTCAGAATGCTTAGCAAGAATTATTTAAATTTTAACTACTTCGTTCTTTTGAAAGAAACAACCCACATGCTTAGCTGTAGAATTATCTTTTGGCTATAGCCATTAAGTAAAAGACTTGTCCAGAGATCACTAAACGTGTGACCTGGGAAGGGACAGAGGCATTCTAGGTATCTTATTAGGGCCATTCTGGAAGTCCTGAAAATGACATGAAGCAGCCTCAGACACTTCCACATGGCACAAACGCGATGTTCTATATTCTTTCTGTGGTCTGTGCAGCATTTTATACTGTGGCCTCACAGATTTGTGTTTCTGCATTTACAAAAGCATTGACTAAAGATTATGTAATTACTCTAACAAATGCATCAAATTTGATCCCTATCCAAAGTCTGGATTTTAGATAATTCATGTTTCCAGAACTCCCTGTTTGCCTGGGAGAAGCAGCTGCTGATGGTACATGTTTCCCTAGGAAAGCTGAGAAGAATAAGCCTGAAACTCACCAACTCACCAGACACAATGCCCTGCTGGTGAGCTGTATCAGTGCCTGCCTGGGCTTACCTGGAACATCAATCAATCTTTTGTAGACATTCAAGAAGGCTGCCTCAGCTTCTTTGCTTCTTTTACTCAGTGCATCAATCTGAAAGGGAATGAAAGAAAAAAAAGAAAAACAAAAAGCTCAAAAATAGTCAAGAGGTAATTTAAAAACCATTGCAAATCTAATGAGTTCCCGCAGCAAATGGAAGCCTGATTCTCCATGCAGATGCTAGACAACTGGGCCTTCACTCTCTTGAATGCCCGCAATGCATAGAAGGGACACCATCCACATGGGATCAGTACATGAGGGTGGAGGTGGAGGAGGCAGGGGCAGTGCTTTGAGAGTATGAAGCTGTTTACAATATGAGAAGAGACCACTGTGTAGCCTTCCACAGAGAAAGATGGCCTGGAATGCCCTTCCTGCTCTTTTTCTTTCTCCTGCAAGTATTGACGGAGAGCTGACCAAATACCAGACATTGTGCTGGAGGCAGGAAGAGGCAGCTTCTTTTCCAGGAGCTTGGGGTCCAATAAGGGAAATAGGAATATTCATAAGCAATGAAATCCAGCTTAGAAAGTGCCAGGCATGCAATCCCATGGGGACGTGGAGAAAGGGACACTCAGCCGGAGGTATCCCTTTGAACAAACAGCTCACCAGGATAGTGAGACACTGCATCAAGGTGAAGAACACATCCAGACACCCAGAGCAGAGTTTGACATGCTCACAGATCCTCTTCAAGGATTTTATGAAAACCAAGAACTCCCCTTCTAGAATGAACACACACTATTTTAGGATGCTGACATTGCCATTATGTTCTGTCAATGGATTGCAGATTAAAAACAATGGATGGGGCTATAACACACCACAGGGAGTGGGGAGTTCAGCAAGAGTCTGCTGGGATGACAATACAGATACATGTGCAGAAACGATGGATGCTTAAGAGCTGTGGGTGATAAGACTGGACAGGTGAGTGGGATCAGATCGCGAGGAGTCTCAGGTACATGTGGAGGAGGATAATCTTGATCATCTGGAAATTAGAGCTGAAGAAGAAGAGCAGGAGAGTGCAGGGAAAAGGAGACTACTAGGAGGCTCCTGCCCTCATCCAGCTGAAAAATGCATAGAAGAGGCCAGTGGGAGAGATTAGGAGTGCAATGAGTTGATGTGAGACTTGGAAGCATAAGGCAAGTCAAGGACAGTGCCGGGGTTCCTCGTGCAGGCTACTGGTGAGGTTCTGTGATGACGGCCATGACTGCTTTGTCTATTGAACTGACCCCGCTGAGGTAGGGTAGATGTACATTCATTAAGATGAGATGTGAAATCCCACGAGTATGAAAGAGTCTGCAATTGTTGGATCGAACTGTTACCCTGTTTGGCTGAGACAACAGATCACTTTCTATACTTGAAACTTGCAAGACTTTACATGCACGAAGTTCAAATTGGCTCAGGAAAAGGACAATAAATTATATATTCCTCTGTCCCCTCAGCATTATGGTCTCTGTCTTCAATGCTATTAAAGAGGAAAAGAATGTGGTTTAATTACAGAGCCTCTCACCTGAGCTGACTGACAATTTCTTATGGGCTGAGGGAAGTCACCTGATTAAGGATGGTTAGAGGTTGAGGAGTGAGAGACAAGGACCACCAGTAGCTGGGCCTTAGAGATGCAGAGCAAACCAGTACAACACAAGCTTCCCGGTTTTTTTTTTCCTTTTTTTTTTTTTAAAGAGGTTTTTGCTATAGGGCACGTGCGCTTGCCAGACCGACAGAGAGAGACAGAGACAGAAAGCGAGAAATCACCCCCCAGGGGGGATGGCCATGCCGCAATCCCTTCTCCTCCATTCTCCTCTCGGGATCTTGGGCATGCACACACACGCGCCCAGTGTGAGTTTTAAGCCACCGGGTCTGGGATATGAACCATGGTCAACTACGTGGGAGTCCAGTGACATAGCCATTACGCTAACTGCTGGTCCCTCCTTTTTTCTTTTTTTTTAAAGGTTTTTGTGGGGACCAGCAGTTAGCGTAATGGCTATGTCACTGGACTCCCACGTAGTTGACCATGGTTCATATCCCAGACCCGGTGGCTTAAAACTCACACTGGGCGCGTGTGTGTGCATGCCCAAGATCCCGAGAGGAGACTGGAGGAGAAGGGATTGCGGCATGGCCCTCCCCCCTGGGGGGTGATTTCTCGCTTTCTGTCTCTGTCTCTCTCTGTCGGTCTGGCAAGCGCACGTGCCCTATAGCAAAAACCTGTCAAAAAAAAAAAGAGAGAGAGAGAAAAGATTTTGGCAAGAGGGTGTATATGCTCACTGAGGAGATAAAGAAAGGCAGAGAAAGTGAGCTATCACCCCCCAGCGAGGATAGCCCTGCTGCAATCCCTTCTCCTCTCAGGATTTTGGGCACACACACACATATGCAATGCTTGAGTTTAAAGCTGACAGGTCCGTGATCAGCCATGTGGGAATCTAGTGTCTTAACCACCACACCACCTGTTGACCCCCATTCCCAACCTTTAACAAGTGTGCTCCAAAATCCCAATGAGAAGTCAGTTTTCTGGGACTCAGATACCCTACTCCCAATAAAATAAAGTTAGAATTTAGGGGTTGGGGGAGGGGTGGTCAAAATGGTCTATAAGGACCATGAATACAAGATAGTTCTATATTTTTTAAGAGTTATTTAATTTTATTTATTATTATTGTTATTATTTTTATTCTGCTACGGGGCATGTGCACTCATCAGAGAGAGAAAGGGAAAATAAGGAAGCAAGCCACCAAATCTGGGACCTGAACCATGGTGGGCTAGGAGGGAGTCTAGTGCCTTAACCTCCACGTCACTTGCTGGCCCCAATGGTTCTCTATTTTAATATAAAAACTCCTCCCTTTGACTATTACTAATTCATGCTTATTGTGTAAGTAGAAAAAATATTTAAAATACAGAGAAGAAAATTAAATCACAACTCTGCCATTCACTAGAAGTGTTGGTCTGTATTCTCATCAATTTCCTAATTTAAAATTTTCATATCCCCGAAATGAAATGTAGGCATTTAGGCAAACTAGAGACAATGCATACTTAGTGGCCCTCTACGAAAGGGCAGGGTGAGGAGAGGGGGGATTTGGAGGATCACAGCTAAGAGGGTGGGGTTTCTTTTTTGGAGTGATAAAAATGTCCTACAGCTGTCTGTGGTGATGGCTGCACAGATTTGTAAATGTACTAAGAATCAATAAACTGCAGACTTAGTGGGGAAATTGTACAGTATGTGAATATAACTCAAAGCTATTTAAGGCCTTTGTGTACTTGAAGTCCAACCATACGTAAAATTTTATATTGTACTTTCTTTCACTAACAAATCATGTATCCTTTTTACTATTGATTACAACTTTGGGAAATGTCTTGATAGCACTATTTCAACTATACCCAATGACCACATATACAGATGCTTGGAATAAAACTGGATTTGACTCGCCTCTCCAGCTGTCTGGAAGGCTCCCTGTGCGCCGAATCTTTCTGCCCTCCTAGGAGATGCATGGCCACAGGAAGCAGTCTGTCTAGAAAACTGGACAGGTGCTCTGGTTGCTTTCTGGTCCATTCTCTACTTGGTCCAGAATCTCCCCAGGGAAGTTTCCTCACTTTCCAGGTATGCCCCCAGGTATGCCCCCAGGAAGGGCCACCCAACAGTGACTTTGCCACATGCAGCAGCTCTCCAGGAGGCAAAGGAGAAGCCATGGAAAGATCCAGATTTCTCTCTCCTGTTTAGGTTGCTCATGGGGACATGGGGGTTAGTATATAGCACATCTGTCTCTCAAAAGAGTCTAAAGTCCTAACTCCCAATACTTGTGAATGTGACCTCCTTTAGAGGTATGGTGTTTCCGGGTGATCAGGTTAAGCTGAGGTCATTAGTTTGGGCCTTAATCTGCTATGACCTTTCAAATGAAGGAAATTAGGACACAGAGACAGACATACACAGGAAGATGCTACGTAAGGACAGAAAACAGCAGAGACTGGGGTGATGCGCCTATAAGCCAAGGATGCCAAAGATTGTCAACAAACCATCAGAAGTGAAAAGAGAGGCTTGGGATAGGTTCTTCCCTCAGGGCTCTCAAAAGGAACCAACCTTCCCGACTACCTTGATCTGGACCTTTCAGCCTCCAGAGACTAAATTTCTTTGGCTCAAGCCACTTAGTTTGTGGTAGTTTGTTATAGCAGCCTTGGACACTATACGGGGACCATGGATCTCCATCCTCATCCCTTCCCCCTCTTTCACAAATGCAAGAAGATTCAAATCCAGTTCTGAGAAAACAAGGACGGCCGATGAGTTTAAATGACTCATTAAGCAACTGGACTACAAGGCCTCTTGGATGAGCTGAGCACACCACGTGTTTCTACTGGATGAAGTCCTCCCACTGCCTTACAAATGATTTTTGAAAGTGGGAGAATTTGTTGGATCTGGGAATTCTGATACTTTCTATGCTGTTCACTCTTTCAGCTCCTCCCTGTGGCTACTGCCTTCAACCAAGAACAGGCTCTGGAGTCTGAGCTTTGCTGTATCCTCCCTCTTTCCCAGCTCATCTCATCCCTCACTACGGACTTGTGAACCCTGCTATGCCCTGTGACTTCCTATTCCCTAGCTTTGCTTACTTGGAATAGCCTCTTGAGCACTGGCATCTCTGTCCCCAAAGACCTGTCCTGGCTTCAAGACCCAGCACAAGCGCCACTTCCTCCAGACACATGTGCTGGACCCCCCCCCCCCCCGAGGTATGCCCCCCCCCTCCCCGCC